GAAATGATTTGAACTTCAAAATTGTATAATGATGCTATATTATGTTTATTATAGGTGTGCCTTAGCTAAATTGAATGATTTGCAACGTGATGATGTTGTGTTTTTGTGCCCCTTATTGTGCTCTTATGGTTCTTATCAACTTGACAAGAAGGGCACAATAACATATATGAAACAATCTTTGTGTGCGACATTTGGAAAAAGAATGATCTTGCTTCCATATAATGAAGGGTAAATAGTTTTATTTTATATAATGTATCTGTTTATGTAAATTTAATTTTTTAATTAATTGTAATTTTTTTGATATTTAGATTTCATTGGATTTTGATAGTCATTTGCCCCTCGGTTAATAAAGGCTATATCTTCAATTCAATCCCAAGCTTTTCTAATATCAGCATTCAGAAAGATCTAGCATTGTAAGTATTCTTTTAATATTTTTTTATTTATAATATTTGCTATAGATTATTATTATTATTATTTATATCATATAACATAAATTTTTTAATGTAGAGCATACAGAGTTGCTTCCGCAAGAAATGGTGATGGAAAGTCAATCACATGGCATAATGTTAAGGTAAATTCATCAATAACTTATTTCAATCACCATTAACTTTTATACATATATTTTGTAAATTTGTATTTCAAAAAAGTGTGCCAGACAAAACGGAAACACAGAATGCGGATATTATACCATGCGATACATATGGGAAGTGATTTCGTATGTTGATAGCTTTGATATTGGAAAGGTATATCATTATTTATTCTTATTTTTTAACTTCGTTTAATTTTTTCTAATTTAAAAGTTGTAATATTTTTTATTTATGTTTTATTTTATCTAAATATTTGTAGGATTGGTATTCAAGAACTGAGGCATATTCTGAAGATGAGTTTAATAACATTCGCAATATATGGGCACGATTTTTCTTGGATGTACTCTTAAATATGTAAAAGTTGATTACATTGGTTATGTATTGTGTGTTAAGTGTTTTTTCAAATCATTTTTATGAAGATTTTTGTAATCTGTTGGTTACTTGAATTGCTTACACTTTGCTGATTTTGTAATTTGTGCAGTTCATGTTGTTGATATTGTGATGACTTTAAACAGTTTACACTTTTGGTATTTTGTTAATTCTGTTCCAGGACGTTTTTGAAAGATCCTAAATATCATTGAATTTTTTTAAAAAATGTTGGAAACTTGCGGCGCTTATTTGTGTAAGGCGCCGCGAAAGTTAAAAAAAATAAATTAATTTAATTTATTTAAAAATATTTGCGGCGCTTATATACAGAAAGGCGCCGCACGGTTACGTATTAAATTATTAATTTAAAAAAAAAATTGCGGCGCCTATACGCAAAAAAGCGCCGCACACATATTAAATATAATTTTTTTTTAAATAAAATATTTGCGGCGCTTTTTGAAATTAAGCGCCGCACGCGTTAAATTGCGGCACCGAGATTTGCGGCGCCTGAGAGCGCCGCACATTGGGTGATTTAAGCGCCGCAAAAAGGCAATTTTGCACCAGTGCAAGTATTTCATCCCATTAATTAAAATCATTAAGTCGTTCATCTTTGTATTAAATTAATTAAATCACTCAATCCCAAAACCTCCTTTTTATTTACTATTTCATAAAAATAAAAGTATTCCTTTTGTAATATTTGAGATTTAATTTAAATGGATTAATAGTACTACTCAAACTAACAAGATGAATCTTCTTTTAAGGGAGCTCATTAGCCAAGAACTCGAAAGTTAAGCGTGCTTGCACGGGAATAGCCTTGGGATGGGTGACCCCGTGGGAAGTTTCTCAGGGTGCACACGAGTGAGGACAGTTAAAGTTTGGTGAATTCACCTTGTTCCGTTTTGTATTCATTTGATCAATATATATACTATATACATCATTGTCCGTTTCCCTAATGGATCGGATGGTGTTAAAGGTTAGCCCTCATTTCTCCACAATTAATGGTAATGATATATACAAGGAAAACTAATTATAGCTAATATTACTAGTAGTATATGAATCGTATAAGGTAAGAAGTATATATGCTAATATACTATAATTAATATATATAATAATAATGGTGTTGACCAGCCGTGTGATGCCAAGCAAATATGATGTATGCATGCCATGCATGCGTAGCTTAACACGCCCCCGCAGTCGCGACATAGGGAGGCTGAATGGTGAGACTGGCCCGGAAATGTTCAAACAAAACTCGAGGCAATCCTTTAGTGAAAATATCAGCGTATTGGTGACGTGACGGGACATGAAGAACTTTGATTTGTCCACGGGCAACTTTTTCACGAACAAAATGAATGTCCATTTCAATATGTTTGGTACGTTGATGCATGACAGGATTGCCGGAAAGGTACACGGCGCTAATGTTGTCACAATATACAACGGAAGCTTTGTGATGTGGATGACGGAGTTCAAGTAGTAGGTTTCGCAACCAACAGAGTTCGGCGACGGCATTAGCAACACCCCTATATTCGGCCTCAGCACTAGACCGGGATAGAGTGGGTTGGCGTTTCGAGGACCAGGAGAGTAAGTTATCACCCAAAAATACACAATAACCGGAAGTGGAGCGGCGAGTGTCGGGACACCCACCCCAATCGGCATCAGTATAGGCAACCAGATCCGTGATGGGTGACGAACGGAGATGAAGACCAAGATGGGAAGTGCCTTTAACGTAGCGGAGGACCCGTTTTAGAGCGTGAAGGTGAGGTTCTCGTGGGTCATGCATGAATAGACATAATTGTTGCACAGCGTAGGAGATGTCGGGCCGAGTAAATGTGAGATATTGTAGCGCCCCCGCAAGACTACGGTACATGGTGGGATCCTCAACCGGTGGCCCGTCCGATGCACTCAACTTGGAGTGTGTATCGACTGGGGTAGTAGCAGGATTACATGTGAGCATGCCGGCACGTTGCAGAATGTCCGAGACATATTGAGATTGAGATAGGAATAAGCTCTGATACCAAGTTAAAGTTTGGTGAATTCACCTTGTTCCGTTTTGTATTCATTTGATCAATATATATACTATATACATCATTGTCCGTTTCCCTAATGGATCGGATGGTGTTAAAGGTTAGCCCTCATTTCTCCACAATTAATGGTAATGATATATACAAGGAAAACTAATTATAGCTAATATTACTAGTAGTATATGAATCGTATAAGGTAAGGAGTATATATGCTAATATACTATAATTAATATATATAATAATAATGGTGTTGACCAGCCGTGTGATGCCAAGCAAATATGATGTATGCATGCCATGCATGTGTAGCTTAACAAGGACAAAGTGCGCAGAAAAGGCTAGTGATGGTTTTTGAGGATAGTACTAGAGGTCAGACGTAACTACCTCGAGTCCTGTGGGATCGGGGTGTTACAGGTGGTATCAGAGCAACCCTGCGATAGTGTGTTGATCAGTTGGATATCGGGCGGGCACTTAGAAGGGGAAAAGATTCTGGAATATGATTGAGATTGGTTTATGGGCGCAACGAGGACGTTACATTCCTAAGCGGGGGTGATTGTAATACTTGAGATTTAATTTAAATGGATTAATAGTACTACTCCTACTAACAAGATTGATCTCTTTTTAAGGGAGCTCATTAGCCAAGAACTCCAAAGTTAAGCGTGCTTGCACGGGAGTAGTCTTGGAATGGGTGACCCGGATGTTTCTCAGGGCGCGCACGAGTGAGGACAGAGTGCGCGGAAAAAGCTAGTGACGGTTTGTGATCATGTGAGGACAGTACTAGAGATCAGAAGTAACTACCTCAGGTCCTGCGGGGTGGGGTGTTACACTTTTCCCTTTGGATACGAACTCTATTACGTTATACTACGTACAAGTGTTAGTATTGAATTTATATTGAGGCACACAACGACTTTAGTGTCGTCAATATACTTCCAGGCTGCAAAACTTTTAAAACATAAAAAGAAAATATTAAAACATATCCTACCCTGTTAAGGGATGACAAATGTAAAAGAAAAAAATGCTCCCACCAGAAACCCATGCGAAGAAGAGAACATTTAGTTACACCGAAAATCACTCATCGACAAATGCAGGTCATAAGGAGCTAGAGAATAAGATAAAGGTAAGGGTGAGATTGGTCCTCGAAATTGCATAAAAAGGGTCAAATAAGTCCTTACTGTCCGGCCGTTGCCATTTGGGGAGGTTCCCGGTGGATTTTTTTGATAGAATGTTTGGAGCATCTTATTCATTAAGTCTAGTTTACTTATACCAAATTTCAGCTTAAACTTCAATCGGGAAGACATTCAAATGAATTCTTGAAGGTAACTACGCTTTTAACTGCGCAGTTATTTTCAAGACTTCATTTGAATGCCTTCCCGATTGAAGTTTTAGTTGAAATTTGGTATGAGTAAACTAGACTTAATGAATTTGGCATATCATTTGCCAAAATCACACTCAGACACTGCAAAGTGAACTCTTCATACAAAGACCATTAAAAAGTAAAATATTTTTCCCAATTTAAAGTTCATCCTCCATCCTCATGGTAGTAGTAAGGCGAGGTATGGCTATTACATCGGCAGCGGCAGGGTACAGAGGTAGGCGGCAGTAGGGCGAGGTACAACGGTGGCCATAATGTTCTATTACTACGTTTATGCATCAGACTAGTAATTTAGATAGGTAGATTCTATGGTACCCATAAGATACCATACCTTTGTCCACATGGATCAATGAAAATGTAGCAGTTGAATTATTTAAACCTAAATTAAAAATGATAAAGTGATGTGGTCCAATCAAATGAATGATAGTTGATAGGTACGGTACCTCATTTTTTAGAAAGGTACTGAAGTTGTCACCATTTAGATATCGTAATACTCCTCATATAACAATTGCATGAAAACCAAACCAACATACCAAAAGCCTCCAATATAATCTACGGACTATGTTTATCCTAGTGGCTTGGTCTTATTTTACTTGTTTTACTTTTTTTTATTGTTCTAAAATAAGTGTCTCTTTACATTTTTTGGAAGAAAATATAAGTCTAGTTACACCATTTTACTTTATTATACTCAAACTTCAACCACAATTGTTACTTTTTTAATCAATTTATTAATAATCGTGTCGAGTCAAAGTGAGACATATAAAATGAAACGGAGCTAGTAATTATTAACCACATACTCGTATTTCATTTGTAATAACTTGACAACTCCACATACTAGTGTGTTCCTATTACAACGACAATGTTTTACAACTCAAATTCTCCAAATATAATTGGCGTTGCTTCAATTTCGGTTCCCCGTAGTCTACAGGCCAAGAGTGTAGGACACGCCGGAAGCTTTCAACCACGAATGGCCTTGGAGAAGCTGATCCACCGTGAACGACTGCGCATCCACCTCGTTAGTGATGGCGTGGTAGCCTTTCCATTTAACTCTCTGGCTAGTTCCGGCGCCGGGTCCAGTGTTCATGTATTCGGCATAATCACACGTGTCCAACCCGACGGTACCATCGTATGGTTCCCACCCAAGTGGATCTATGTGATCGTCCAGGTAGGACTGCATGTACATGGTCCTGGAGTAAAGTGTCCAAGGCCGGCCCAACGTTGTTAGTTTATTATCTGCTTTAACCGGCTCCAGATCTGGGCTTGGAATCACTGTACAACTTTGGAAGGATAGGCCCGTGTTCTGGTTTGGATCGAGCCGACCGTGGGCTGAGATGCACGTGGGCTGCCCGTGTGCGGGCCTGCGGGCCAAGATTTGGGAGTTCTGGAAAACGGCCGCCGCATTGCCGAAGATAAAGTCGACGGTACCGGTGATGTTGCATTCCTGATAGAATTGCCGGCCGGCGTAGGCGTAGAGCGAGTCTTGATATCCGTCAATTTTGACGCGGTTGAAGATGGATTGATCTGATCCTACCATTAGTGCCACCGCTTGGTGCTTCAGTGGCGCCGCTGAGTTTTGGAAGGTTATGTCTTGGGCCATGAACCTAGCACCCCATACAGCTGATCCAATCATATAAAATTAGTAAACATTACTCATTTTTCAAAGGGATAAGGCTTAAATTGGACACTATGGTTTTATCAAAATCTCATATTGGACACTAAGGTTTCAAATGGACCAAATTAGACACGATGGTTTCATATATATCTCATATTGGACACTAAAGTTTCATAATTCATAGCTTTCGGACACTCACTTATATTGGACAAAGAACAAATTGGACACTCACTTATGTTGAATTATGAAACTTTAGTGTCCAATATGAGATACATATGAAATCATAGTGTCTAATTTGGTCAATTTAAAACCTTAATGTCCAATATGAGATTCTGATGAAATCATAGTGTCTAATTTGAGCCTAATCCCTTTTTCAAACTTGGTCACAGATACGGCCTATTTATTGCACATAATAGTACGCGCAAAGAATATGAGAACTTTAATAAGAACCGGAGGGAGTAGTATCTCGATAGAGAGAATATACTGCTCATAGTAGTACGCGCAAAGAATATGCGGAGTAACACGAGTAATATAACTAGTGAATAATAATGTAAAAAAATGTAAAAAGTAAAATCCAGAAATCCAAAATCGTTAAGTGCAAGACGAAAAATTAGAATATAATGGGAACATGGAACATGACCAAATAGAAAAAATATTAAAGAATGTGAAAAGTTGAATAAAAGTTTTTTTTTTGAAAGCAAAAGTTAGACTAAAGTTGTTAAAATGGAAATAAGGAATTCCCCATTGAAAAAAACTTCCTGAAACCATAGAGAGGCCACTAAAAATTAAAGGAAGGGTATAATCTTCCCTTTTTTTGAAAGGTGGTATAATTTTCATTGTTAAAAATCACATTCACCCTTCTACACAAATTTTATGTTCAGATTTGATATTAATTATTCATATTTTAGAATTTCAAAATATTTTTACTCTTAATTTTGAAAATTTCCCAAATAAATTTATCCAAAGAAATAGCCCAAAACAGGTCTATTTACTATTATAATTTTCACTAAATAGGAGTAATTTCTATGGAGTATCATATTTTTGTATTACCATACTAAACTAGTTTTTTCAAGCTTAACACTAATTACTTTTACATAGGAAAAAAGTATGAAAAATTACATACAAATGATCAAAATAAATGTTGTCTACAAAAATGTGACCTCCTAAATATATACTACATATAGGCTATGTTTGGGAGATATAAGACTCTACCTTCTAGCTTTTGTACTATTTAAAAAGTTCCTAAAAACTTCTAGTTATATGTTTGGTATGACAATTTTTAGAGCTTTTAAAAAAAAGGTCTTTTTTGAGATGCTATAGGGAGTAGCATCTGAGAAAAGTCTGTGACTTTTAACATTAATTAGTCCCAACATCTTGTATACCTAACGGAACGAAACCAAACATGTAGCTTTTTACCGAACAGCTGCCACATTCCGAACAGCTAAAAATATCTTTTCAGCTAGTTGTGACAAACATAGACATAATAATTTAGTAGTAACTTATACCTCCTACTACGTATTCAATTTAATCAAATTGAAATGAACACACAAAAAATCAAGTGTAATAAGTTGTGCTAGGTAAATATTGCGTTACCAACCGTAGCAGTCTCGGATGTGGCTTTTCCATCATCAACGCTCGCGCAGCCAGTGATAATTGTCGCATCCATCCCGTCGCCGACGAGCATCAAATTTGTCTTTAACCACCCTATCTCAACCTTTTCTACGTACGTTCCTGCCCTGACGTGTATAACATAACGTGTCGTGCCACTATCTGGCGCGGCGTAAATTGCTTCTGTGACGGTTGTGTAATGCCCGCTTCCGTCGGCCGCCACCACCACATAGGATGCCACGGCGGCGTCCACCCAAGATTCCAACAGTCGTCTATCTCTGGGGCGGACCCAAGATGGGAACTTGCGGTTGAGTGGCCAGAGATCATCCTGACGAGACGCCGACGGGGCAACCGCAACAAACATCGCCAAGGATGACCTTGCCCGGGCGATCAAGTCATTCAGGATGGGCTCCAGCGTTGACCAGGCCGGGCCGTGAAGCCCGTCCAAACACGTGTCGTGGTTCGTTAATACGCTGCTCAACCAAGTATGGGCGTCGGAGCGGGCTTTGGCCGATGGGTTCCCGAGCGCCACCATAGAGTTGGTTATCCAGTCAACAGACAACTCCAGCAACAACATACAACTATTAAGACCCGATTTGACCTTCTGGCCGTTGACTCTCCCGGTGACATTGGTCAACACATCCATGGCATCTCTAGTTCGCCGTAAGGACGAGTGTAAAAGCATCTGAAGTAAATCTCCGCCATTGGTTTCTGTGGGACCGGACGATGAAACCTCGGACAGAATAGCTATGCACGACGTTGGGTCATGGGCCCCATTACAGACACTGGCATGAAAGGTGGAGGAAGAAGATGAGGAGTTAGTAGTGATGATCCATTTGGAAAGCAGTGCAGCTGAGCTCACAACAGCTAGTAAGCAAAGAAAGGTGTAGAGAGCTTTTGAAGAAGAGAGGAGTGGTTGAAAGGAGGTTGCCATGGCTATTGTTTGAATGAAGTTCATTTGATCAGCACAGATCCTTAAATAGGCAAATGGAAATTAAACATGGATAGACACCCTTAATATTGTACTATGCACCAACTTCATATGATACTCCATCAGTCCTTTAAAGTTTGACAATCGTGTGACAAAGATTTATGGGAAATAACAAGAGCACATTAAAAGAGAGAGTGATAAAATTTTTAAGACAACCAAAAAGAAAAGTTAGTAAAGTTATAAGAGACGAGAGAGTAATATTCTTGAGAAAATTCATGTGGAGTATACACACACCAAAAAGTAACATCAAATTTGTAACAAAATGTTACTCCCTCAGCTCACCCCTGTAATTGTCTCATTTTTTAATTTGTACGTTTCACTTAAGATGTTTATAATTGGATTGAAATTTTTGGGTTTAGTTTGAGCTACTCGGGTCTGTATAAGCTTGTTGGTCTATTCAGGTAAATATATGGTCCATGTAAGTTTTAGAACTGTCAAAGTCTATTCTGATTTCATCTGGTCTGTTTCGGTCTGATCTGGTTTGTTCTGCTCTGCACCGAAATAAGTCAAAGTAAAAACATTCTTAGTTTATCCTATACCATATGTTCATACATAGTAATATTTGTGTGCATGATTATAAGTAATTTTTACTTTATTTACACTTTACCAATTCAATATCAATAACATAATTTTACTTTTGTTTACAATCACACAATCTCTCTTGTTCCAATTTTTAGGGGACTGAGGTTATAATAAATCAGGGTTCTAGCTACAAGGTTGTATTAAATGAATTGTAATGCACTCTTGTATTGTATGGATACACATTTTTTTTTTGTCATTTCACATTTTACTTCACTTTCTCATAATTTCTTTTTTATGAGAAATGAAATTAAGAAATGAAATTGATCAAATGCAAGCACCCATTTGGACGCCATGAATATTCTAGAACCATCCATATCATATTTCAATTTTTTAATTACTAGTCCGTAATTAGACAAAAACTAATAATACTTCGTACTATTAACTAAGAATTGTAAATAACTAATTACCATCACAAAATTAATGTTGAGTCACAGGGATGCGGTGCCATCAATTGTCTAGTTGGTCGGTGCAATCGAAATGTGGTTGTTTGCTTGTTCTATACGAAGGGAAGGCATGGTACAGTATCAACGATTATTTTTATTGTAGCAGTAAGTACACCGATTCACAAATGATATCAGAGTAAAAGGTCTCAGGTTCGATCCATGACAACAGCATACTGTGCAGTTGAGACCAAAAACATTGCAATCATTATTGTATCAGAGTCAAAGGTTACAAATGATTGTAGAATTGCCAATCATTATTTTATTCCCAAAACTAAAATTATCAACAAAAAATAGAGCAATGTAAACAAATATAATGCGAAAATAAGACCATAAACAATAAAATAACTGAAATATCATCTTTCAAGCGCTAGCACCTCGATTGCTCCAAGGTGGCGGTTCAGGAGGGGGTGGAATGCCAATCTATCTTCTCCCTTGCTTGACCCTTCACCGCTCCTCGTCTGCTCCTCACTTGTGCCGCCTCCACTACCGCCACCGCCACCGCCCTCCACCCATGGTGTCCCGTCAAAAGCCAACCCTTGGACCTCCACCTCAATTGTTGGAATGGAACAACACTGCTCTAGAACATTTGTAGATGCCACGACTATTGTTTCTTGATCCTGCATTTGGTCAAAATGCAAAAAATGATCCGCAGAAGTGCGACATTGCACCGCTCTCGACACACGAGAAAAAACCTAACTCTCGACTTCGTAGTTAAGATGCGAGAGAATACTTTTTACTCTTCCCTCTGAACATTAGAGTTGATTCATGCGGCAACGTGAAAGGATCATGTACCAACCCCACGTTTTTACTAATAATAGGGTTTTGAGAAAATGAGTAGGAAAGTAAGGTTTTTTAGATCAATCTAAGGGCATATTAGTCCATAAAAAAATATTTATTTATTAAAAAATTAATTAATTCATTATTTATTCCGAATTTAAATATTACTTTTGAAAAAAAAAACTAATGATGACATAGATTGAAAAAGTGATTGAATTTTAGTCATATCGTAATTTACACTTAATTTTATCCCACGTCTCAACAACAACAACATCCATGCCAATAAAAGAAGTCAGACAAGAAAAAAAAACATGATAAAACCATTAAAATAAAGATAAATAAATACTCCGTATAAGATAACAATAACAAAAGAATATAAGAAAAATATAAAAGAGCATAAGAAAAGCTAAAAGATAAAAAATAACATGTGAACATCAAACAAAGAAGATAAACAATATTAAGTATTTAATTTAATATCATTAAGGCACTTAATTTATTTTTTATGTTAGTACATTTTACGTACTTATATGTTCGTGTCGTGTGTTTAATTCATTGCAGCATACAAAAGGGTATGTTATTTAGAAAGGATTTTCCAGCCTTGGAGACATGTCGTGCATTAGAACTTCTTGATAAGCTTTGCCCAGCTAGCCTAGCCGACGGCACAAAGGTGGTATATAGTACTTCCTCCGATCCGTTGGAAGGTTCCTGTGAGTAAATGACATGATTTTTTAGGCAGGTGGTTAGATAAAGTAATTTGGATAAGAAAGAGAAGAAAGAGAAATTTTTTAAAAGAGTAAACATGTGAAGTCGAAGTAATTAAAGGGAGACATGGTTGGGAGAGGGGACATTGTGAAACTTGACATAGAATGAGAAATTTGAGTAAAAGTTTATCTAAAGAGAGTAAATTATTTTCTAAAATAGAATGAGAATCTTTAAATGAGACATCCAAATAAGGAAAATGGAAACCTTTCAACGGAACGAAGGAGTATGACTAGATGTATCATCAGCATTGTACAATCACCTTAATTTAGGTAGTTCCATATTTTTCTAATTTCATATGCACATCTTATAATTATTTTATGCAAATCTGTTTTCAATTTTATATATGCTTTTGATGATCGAGTGCCTATATGGTACATCCGGATGTACTTACACCCGATCCAACCAAGGCAAGACAGCCCAATAACTGATACATGCCAAAAACAATTCGGTGACATTTTTGTAATTTAAGCGAAAAATCATGGTTTCTGCTAAATGGGCAATATTGTACTTCTAGTGAGCATATGACCTATTTTATTGAGTATTAGGAGGCTAACAATGAGTATCACCATCTGTACTTCATATCTTCTAATTCTTTTTCTTTTTCTTATTTTTTCTTTTATAAAAACTTATTAAATTATATCTATAATCCACTCCTATTAATTTCAATATGTGAGTCTAATGTAATATGATACTTTTGAAATATGCATTGATATGACATTTAAAAATGAGCATAACATCAGTACCAAATTAGCATACATAGTGCTCATTGATATGAAAAGCGTAAGGTTTGTTAGTTGAACATAACGACATTTTAGTTGCGCATTAAACCTCTGCTATTGAGTTGAAAATCACGATTTCTGGTGAATGAGCACTAATGAACTTTTAATGAGCATCAGACCTATTAAGTTGAGTATTGACTCTAATATTCAGAATCGTGATCTCTGCTTCATAACTTTTAATTCACTTACTTTTTTTCCCTTTTTCTTTTAAAAAAAACTTATTAAATTATGCAACTTAAAAGTTGAGTACTAGGAACCTAACAATATGAATCTAATGTCATATGCAACTTTTAAAATTTGCATGAATATGACATTTTAAAAATGAGCATAATATGAGTACAAATTGAACAAACATAACTTACAAAATGAGTATTGATACGAAAATCATAAGTTTTTAGTTGAACTTCAAGGCATTTTTATTGAGCATCTAACCTTCTCTATTGAGTATTGAAAACATCCAATTTAGTATCATGGTTTGTGCTCCTATATCTATAATCAACTCCAACATGAATCAAAAAAATAAACTAAAACATTTAATTATAGGGAAATGACCCAAAATAGGAGCAAATGACAATTGGAATTCCAAAAATATGACTAGTATGTTTTTCTTCCCGAAATAGAAATTATTACTATCATGTATGAAAAATACTGTCATGATTGAAAAATACTATCATTAATTATAATAAATACTGTCATGTTAAATGCACTGTACTGCAACTATTTGGCAGTCACGGCTACAAGATGACAGTAAATACTGTCATGTTAGTCCCATTTCGGGAATAAAAACAAAGTAGTACTATTTTGGAATTTCAAACTTCATTTACTCCTATTTTGGGAAATCTCCCTAAATTATATTTATATTACACATTTTCATTTTCATGATAATTGAATATAACATTAAAGTAGAAGGTTGCTAAAAAAGGAGAACAAAAAAACAAAAAAAAAGGAGAATAAACAAAGAAAAGAAAAGAAATGAGAACAGCCACCTACGAGTGAAGGAAATTAAAACATAAACTTTGTAACAACCAACTCATTGGAATAGTGGAATGACAGTGACTTAAAGTTTCTAGTCATTGAAAGAAGCAGAAAACATGGGCTTGGAGAGAGCGCATGTAGAGTGGAGCATCGGCGAAAAAAAAAGGAAGAGTGGAGCATTAACCTATTAATTATCCTGAAACTTGTTACTAATTTCAAAAAAACCGAGTGTACATGTACACCCGTGTGTAGGATATAATCTGCCTTGATGATCACCTCCACCTAGTGCACCTTCTTTTATACTCCGTATAATGTTTTTTCTTTAATGTATCAGACTATTTCTACAATAATAGCAATCCGACAACCTTTTTTAACATTTCCCGAGTCTCTTGGACATCACTGTTTTCCCACTGCTTCCAAGCCTTTAATTAAGGAGATTGCAAAAAGTAGAAAAAATAGACAAAATTTTGGTCGTTTGCTATAATCTAAAGTTTACGACTTACCCGGTCTGGACTTAACTGGAATAAAAATATGATAATGGCTTCTTTTAGACTATTAGTATTCTACTTGTGCGACTTAGGGAAAATATCGCATCGAAAACATATACCACATATGAAAAAGTAAGTA